CGATTTACATGCAAACATTGATTTAACATTCATTTCTTTTGTATTTTCCTCGTGAATTATTAATGAATTTTTTAAGAGTATATACTTTATAACTATATATACTTATAACAAGTATACTTTTACAACTTATAAGTGTATAAGTATATACTTATAAGTATATGAAAAAAAAAACAAGCATTCGACATCTAAAAGCCTGATATTTTTAAGTATGTACTTAATAGACATTCAGACATGCAACGGAGCGAATAATTAATGCATTTCCTTTGCTTTAAAGGTCTATGCATGGAATACATGAAAACACTCTATAACAAACGCGCGATAATATCCCAAAGTTGGAATACCTTACACTCCGTGTATAAATAGCAGGCACTATTTACAGTAATCACATTGCACACACTACTATCACCATTCAAACTACAAATTAGACTACAATATACCATTCATAAGTTCTTTGTATGTTTGCATGGCGATAAAACATATAATAGTTTTGTTTGTGGAAACACCACGTAAATAATATACTATTCCCCCACCCTTCCAATATTTACTTGTAATGTTCATACATACTCACAATATTACTATCTTTAGGCTTACTTATAAGGTTCATACATACTCACAATATTACTATCTTTAGGCTTACTTATAAAGTTCATACATATACTCACAATATTACTATCTTTAGACTTACTTATAAATTTCATACATACTCACAATATTACTATCTTTAGGCTTACTTATAAAGTTCATACATACTCACAATATTACTATCTTTAGGCTTACTTATAAATTTCATACATACTCACAATATTACTATCTTTAGGCTTACTTATAAAGTTCATACATACTCAAAATATTACTATCTTTAGGCTTACTTATAAAGTTCATACATACTCACAATATTACTATCTTTAGGCTTACTTATAAATTTCATACATACTCACAATATTACTATCTTTAGGCTTACTTATAAAGTTCATACATACTCAAAATATTACTATCTTTAGGCTTACTTATAAAGTTCATACATACTCACAATATTACTATCTTTAGGCTTACTTGTAATGTTCATACATACTCACAATATTACTATCTTTAGGCTTACTTGTAATGTTCATACTCACATTCGATTATATTCTCCACCCTGGCCGGCCTGTTCTCCAACCTCGCTTAATGATTCTGAATTAGTGAATCGTGTATTAATTTAGTGAATCTGAAAGCCTGACGGAACAAGAAGAAAACGGAGTAGATGAGGAAAGTGAATATGATGGGGTGACGAGTGAAGATAGTACAAAACCAAGGCGGGTATGGTCACTCGTATGTTCAACCAAAGAAGAGTGGGAGGAATTAGCTGAAAGATTTTCTAATAGCCAGAATAAGGATGAGAAGCTTCTACACGAAACACTTACTGTTGATTTCTTGGCGGAAATTACTCGAATGCTGGAGACAAAGGTAAGTTTCATATGCACGTTAAGGTTACAGAACACCTTTGAGTGTTAATTTTGCCTAAAATTTTTTTATTGGTTTCAATGAAAGCATTAGACCAGTTCTACTATCTGACCAAGTTTGAACGAAAAATGTTGAAAACTCGCAGAGTTATTTAATAAAATACATTACGCTGCAATAAGAAAAACATTGAAAATGTAATATTCAAATTCAATTTTCTCACAAAAAATTTTACGGTAATTACTGATTTTCAAACGAGTTGTGCTCCTGCGGGTTTTAACCAATTTTTCTCAAATTTTCACAGGACATAGCTAAATACGTCAATTTCAAAATGGTGTTCGGCTTTTTTTTAATTTTGGATATTTTAAAAATAAAGAGCAATTCACTCAAACAATTCAGAAATATATTGCAGTCGTCAAAGAAATCGCCATATCAGCGGAACGACGAAATAAAATTTTTTAGAACAACTATTTTACTGTATAAAAATGATATTTTCATAAATATAACTTAAAACCAGCAGGAGCACAACTCAAAAGCGTAAAGGTGCCGCGATTTAAGATTTTCCTGAATAATTCATACATTATTTTATTGTTTGTTAATTTTACAACTTTACCATATTTTGCATACACTGGAGAACATTTGGTGAAAATTTTATGAAAATCGGACTGATATTGAGCGCGCAGTAGCGATTTTCCGCAAAACGCCAAAAAGGGTGTCCTGTAACCTTAAAGACTCGAGCGCCTTGGTTGACTATGCGCTCATGCTAACAGTGATCGGCCATGTCACAGCCATGTAGAACAGTGGTAGAACAGTGGTTGACCGTTGTAAAAATGCTTGGAATGTATAAAACTATGGATAATGTTGGGTCGGTTAAACATTAGGGACCGTTCATTTTTATCTTGGGAGGGAGGGGGGGGGGGAGTGGCGGGGGAAATTAGGGGTTTGGCATCCAGGTAAAAATAGCCTGACAAAGGCGAGGCGCGAAAATCGAGGCTTTGACTGTGTAGAAAATTAACAGTGTTTTGTTGAAAATTTATGAAATGTCTGGACTACTTCAATTCAAGTGAGTTGTGCCCTCCTCGTACCCAATTTTTCCCAGTGGCCCAACCTCAAGCAATATTTGTTCTGATAACCAACCCATCCTAAAAAGCTGTAAATACTGTACTGCATGTATGTTGCTTAGGATGTATCAGGATATATTTAAACAGCAATGGTAAGGTATAGCTCAATTGATAGAACCCAAATACAGTAGTAATGCTGTTGGGTCATGTGTACCTAGCTGGCATGATTAAAATATGTTCTTAAGAAAAGCAACTTGTTAATAAACGTGTCTGCATAAACGAAATACACAATACTGGCTGATGTTGGAGGATGTTCGATCAATTTTGGCTTTATTCAAAATTTTCATGCAACACCGTCCAGCATTACTGAACCAACAATGTTGAATGATGTTCGGAATGGTTTGAACGCGCCTTAACTAATTTTGAATGCTCCACCTTTATGGCAATGTGAATTGGAGCAATACATTTGGTAAATTTGTCACGGAAATTGTCTGCTATATTGGACATTGTCCACCACTGTAAAAAGATCATGGCCGGATTTTGAAGGGAGATTGAGGAGGTGGACACTTCCTCTGAGATTTTTTGCACCACCCCTGAAAAGTCATTCACCTCCCCTTGGTAAAGGTTGAATGATACTGTAGATCAAAGTGAAAATTTGGCAAATTTGTATGTATTGCTTAGGGTCTAAGAAAGTTTTTCTGTAAAATTGAAACAGTGATAGCTATTCATCTCTGTGTAAAGTGGGTACTTGCATGCAATGTATTGAAAGGAATTTTGTAGTAATTAAATGAAGGGCGAAATTAGATGAGTTGTACAGTCATATTTCATAATCACATTGATACAGGTACGTTACAATCCCTAACATTCCATGGGGCCGTGAGCTAGTTAACTGCACGTCCCCTAATTTTTTTTGTCACCTCCCAAACCTTTCCACCAAAATCCAGCCTTGAAATAAATAAGAGGTGTTTCTTTTGTATTTTGTAGGACAAAGCTTTTCGTAAGAAGATGTTGGTGGAAATGGCTCCAAGAAGATCTTCGGACAGGATTGCCATCAAGGCACAGCAGAAAGAAGAAGAAGACAAACAAGTTGAGATCGAGAAACAACAGGAAAAAGAAAGACTGGCTGAAGAGAGGAAACAAGAAGCCGAGGCTAAGGAGAAAGAACGCGCGATACTTGCTGAAAGACGCCAGCGAGGTTTGTTGGGTTTATATATAAACATATCAGTATTTATATATATAAACATATATCAGTATTTATGTGATGTAAGCGGTTAGCAAATGTAATTTACCGCAGATCGGGGTAACTATTAGTATACCACGCGCTATAGGAAGGTATAATTTGATGTGCCTGCTAGCTACGGCGCAGTAACCTAGCTAGTCATGCGTATCACTTACAGATTTGGGACTTGATGAATGTCTGCATGTTGTATATTATTACTGGTGTATTTTTTATGGTTTATCAAGGTATTTTATTGGAGTTGTTTCCAATTTGACTATCGGTGATTAACAAACAATCCTTAAACAATGGCAGAAAACAATGCATTAGACTATAAAATAGACCTTTATTACATTTTGAGTAAATTTCAGCTTGATATTAAAAATCTAGAAAAACCAAGAATGAAAAATAAGGTCAATATTGTGACACTAGCGTCGTTTCTAGAAACAGAACATTTAATAGAGTTGTATGCCCGTCAAGGCTCGATCCAATGCAAATCCCCATATATTTTCCAATAAAATTTGATTTTAAAAATAGTGCCAGTTGGCAGTTTTCAAAATAAAGCCTCCACGTTTTTGATACTTGCTAACTTTGACTTCGACCTTTTCATTCCTGCTATTTATGGAATATCAGAAATAAAAGTCATATCAGAGTACTGCACCACATGGTACCAATGACAGAACAGACAATGTGATTTCAAACATCAAAACCATCTGACATCAAATTTTAAATCGAGTAAAAAAAAGTGATAAAGGTCTACATAAAGCTGGACAAGGCGCCCTTGTCGCCCAAGCTCGACATAGATGCCCTCGTCTGAAAATCTGTACATTATAACCGGTAATAGATAACTTGCGTCTTGCATGTTAGACTAATTTTTTATTTAGGCAAAAAAAGTAAATTCCCGTAAAGAACTTATTAAAATTAGTAAAATCGCAAAATTTGGTTGCGAAATGTTGTAAAATACAAAAAAATATAGCCTTGCGAAGTTTGCATATTTTCAGTATATTTGTATTACGTGCGGAAATTGTTGCCATTTTTGAGCCGAAAATGGTAACAATTTCCTCACATAATACAAGTATACTGAAAATATGCAAACGTCGCAAGGCTATATTTTCTGTATTTTACAACATTTCGCAACCAAATTTTGCAATTTTACTAATTTCATTATGTTCTTTTTAACGGTTGTGTTTGATTCCCCTCTCTTTACTTAGATTAAAATTTAGTCTAACATGCAAGTTGTCCATTGATGGCTTAATGGCTTCAAATACCTCAATATGATAATCGACCGTTAATAAGATAGCCGTCCATAAGACAACTGGACGGCAGGCTGGCTAAGACCATCCTATAAAGTCTCCCCCCCCCCCCCCCCCCCCCCCCCCCCCCCCCCCCCCC